TCAGGGAATGTCTGATTTTTCTCAGCATTGAACATTTCCTGTACAAATCTATGGGAATGCATGTGTCTACTATGTCAAGAAAAATCAGACATTCGCTGTACAAAACCATGGAACTTCCAATTTCCAATATCAAACTAACTTTACTGTCATGACTGGTAGGCTGTGAGAAAGCCAAATTGCAGTTTCCAGACAGATTCAGAGACCCTTTCAATGAAACATCATGTTTTCATTTCCTAGGAGTCACGGTTCTGCTGGAAGAGCCCACTGCAGATGATGTCAACACCAACACCATGTTTAGTGAGAAGTTTGAGGAGGAGGTGTACCCACCTGATGTGGAGAAAAGTGAGGACCCAACCAAGACTGGGACCTCCTGGTCCAAACCAGGGGATGAGTCCATCATTAGCTATGGTAAGTCAGCTTGCAGTAAAGGCTAGCTTGTTTTACTTTCTTCAAGGTTGCATTCCGGACAATGTGCACCATGTAAGCATTAACTGGACCTGTTATAAAAGTGTTAATAATTAGATGACCCTTTTTTTATCCGTATCTTTTCCTACCTGACATAATCCGTGCCACCTTCTACCTCTGCCCATAGAGTACTGTGTGAGCAGTTCAGCTGAGCTTCTCGATGATGTTGTTCCCTGCATGGTGGTTGGGGGCAACTCCTCTGGTTCCGTGGCCATTGAGAATGGAAAGATCGTAGTCCAAGCCGGTGACAGGGAGGAGAGGTTCAACATCACCGACTTCCAGATTCCAAAGGAGTCCACTCACCAGGTGAAGACAGGTGCAAAATTCAACATGGAGCCTGGCAAGTAAGTGTGCAAGACTGAACCCATGGGGTGGTTGATACATTAGAGACATGTTTACAGTGGATGCAAATGATAAAGGCCTTTGCCGATGCTAAACTCCGAAACCAACAGCACTCCTTATTTTTCAGGCGTCCTAGCAGACATACATGTAACTAGTGGAAACTCTTGGGTCAAATTTGGGCAGACTGTTTTTTGACATTGGTTTCTTGTTCTCACGCTCAAACTGTGGGAACACAACCCAAGAACACTGTTCTGGGAACAGGATCACACACCACTGCATCGTCGGGGTTTTACAGAAACACAAATGGAAAAAAGTTGTGAGATTTTGATTTTTGAACATCCGCAATAAATAGTGAGATGGCTGACAAAGCCGGAGACAACGGGAAATTTCTTAAAATAACTTTCAAATTTTTCAGCAATAGTAGAGTCATCCTCTCCCTTCAAGGAAATTGCTAGTACCATTGCTCAAAGGTAGTGAACACCATTGGTTTTTGTCATAATTTCACAAGATTGGCTGATTACGATGTGTAATATTCACTACTTACATTCCACTGATTTGTTAAATGTTTGAGTCAACTGCTGAAAAATAAAGAAAAACAATGCAGCATTTTCAACGCTTAAATCGAAGGTCTTGTAATTTATCTTGGGTAAAATCCATGGATTTTAGGGCGTTTGTAGTAAGCGAACAACATCTGCGGGGTGAGGGCAGGAAACAGGCATGACAGGTGCTCATTCCCTTAAAAAAGGAACAGTTTTCAACGGCGAGGAGTAATCAGTGAATATACCTCAGAGTCATGTACCTCCAAGACAATTTAGCATTGTGGATTCATGAAAAAACTTCATCCAGGAATGCCATTGACACTGTCAGTGACACCTAAACAAGTAAGCCTATATGAAAATGTATGTGCTTGCGATCGTGCTTAATGACCACGCTTTCACTTCTGTTTATATGTCAATGACAGTTGAACAACTCCATTCTTACTTGATTCACTAATAAAGAAGAAATTATGTCTTGAAATATGGTAGGTTTAACCTGTTGAAATCATACTTTTTGTTGACGAAAATCCATTTTACTGTTCTGCTCAGAAAGCCACCCTATTTGGATCATATCATTATGCTCTAGGGATGATTTTGAATTCACAAAGTTTTTTGATTAAGAAAATCCTTTCCTTGAATAAAATTCAACTTCACACTGATCCAATTTATTTCCTACTTTACACCTTACACTCAGGTTCCTATATTTTCAGTTTACAGTGCTTTTGGTGAATTTCTGTCGGTATATTTTGAGCTGCTTTTAGATTTAACTGTTAATTAAGGGAGACTCCCACAGCATAACACTACATGTATACACAAGAAAATTAGCGCCTGTTAAAGGATGTGATGTGCGAAGTGAAATTAACTCTTATACGATGGTCGGCTTACCATTGTAAAAAAAAATCTGTTTTCTCGAAAAACACAGCATTCTGGGCAGAAATATTTTACAGACTGATTGAGGCTGTGTGTACTTTCTTTCAAGTAAAATATTTCAGGATTTTACGGTAGTCCGATTTTGGGGATTTTGCCAATGGTGTACACTACCTTTAAGTACCTGTACTATTGAAAAAAGAAACGGCAATATGTTTCGGAATGGGGGGGGGGCAATTGCAACCTCATCCCCCCGCCAGATACACCATTGTTCTAACTTCATATATGGGGCTGGGGGGGAGGACTGGCCTATATTTAATACATAGATTATGTTAGGTAGGAGTTGTCTTTAAGCTTTTCTTTTCTTGACACACAGGACTATACTTCAGTCACTCTGGTGTGCTGACAGAAACCAACTCTCTCACCCAAATCATTTAAATAATTTTAATACAAACTTATTTCAAACCAATTGTTCAAATTGTAATACATCTCCAGCAGTGGTTCACTCAATTCAAGTTGTGATGGCTAGTTTTCTGTGAAGTCTTACAGAGTGTCTTGTGATTTGAATTTCATTCCAAAGTCTATGAGGTCACCCAAGGCATGAGCATGAATACATTGGTTCATGTAACTGTTTTTGGCTATTCTAGATGTCTACATACCTCAATGAGGATGTGCAATGCAGCTCAGTTGTGTAAGATTGTGCCATCAGGAACTACTATGGTGTTAGGTTAGTACAAAACTTGTTGTGCCTCTTGGCAAATTGTCATAGGCTGAGCTCTTTAACCCTAACCCTCCTCAATCCTTCACCTGTTGGAGGACTGAGGAGTGTTAGGGTTAATTAACATATGTTATGTTTTAATAAACTTATGCTGAAACGACGGCTCCTCTTCAGAAACACTTATTACCACACTCATTTTGTCACAAAGGAGAAATGATTTGGTAAAATATAGAGATAGGGAACAAACTTATCAGTTAGTGTCATGAAGTACCATTTCTAAGAAAATTGTTAAAATGGAAACATTCACTGTAATGTTAGAACAGATTCCTTCNATCAGTAACAGAGGTTTTTTACTACACATTTGTTAATGCTTTCACATCTTGCTAACTAATCAGAATGTAGACAAAATAAGTGATATAAACCCAAGTCAACTAATTGCTGTCTGCCATCAGGTAAGATTAAAGCTCTCCACAGATGTTGAAAATCCTCTCTATTCTTGTATGATATCCACCCATATTACACCCATTTTAGCTCAACTTCATTGGTTATCTGTTTACCAAAGGGTGGAAAATAAAATTGTATTGATTGTTTATAAAGCACTTCCTGGGCTAACACCAAGTTATAATAGTTCTATGATCCAGCAGTACCGACTATATCTAGGGCCTTGCGTTCTGCAGATCAGTTCCTCCTGTCCGTTCCAAGACTAAGACCAAAGGTCAGCAGGTGGCTCCTGTTCTGTGTAATGCACTCCCCCTTGGCATCAGGTTGTCCGAATCAGTTGGTTCATTAAAAAAATCTCTTAAAAGACATCTCTTTATGAAATACTTTAATTAATTTTTCGTATTTTTACAGTTAACATATCTGCAGAAATGTGGTTTGCAGAAACACATCTCTTTATGAAATACTTTAATTAACTTTTCGTATTTTTACTGTTAACATATCTGCAGAAGCGTGGTGTTATCCGACGACCATGCTAACACCCTTGCCGTTGTTAGGTGTGGCTCCGGCACCGCTGAATGTTGCTTTTAGCACCTGTGGGTGCGGGGAGCAACGCCGGCGGTGTTGGGGCGACACATTTAGGGTGTGGTTTTCTGGTGCACTGGGAAGTGTTGTTTTTGGCACCACAGTTTGCATGTATTTTTTATGTATTATTTTAATTGTATTTGTATTCTTAACATATTAACATAGGTGTTATTTTTATTGTTTTATATTGTAAAGCACCTTAGAGCCTTTTTGGATTAGGGTGCTATATACTGTAAGTTTGGTGTAATAATAATAATCCAACAGGGAAGAGTGATCAGGTGTTGACATCACACAGTGGTACAGACCTCATCCTGATGTCAACAACAGTTCATAGAAGAAAGAAGAGAGCAACAGACAACCACTTTGATGTCACTGTGGCTACCACGGGAGGTAGGTTTGAGTGTTTGGTACCTAATAGACCAATGTGACAGCCAGAACTAGAAGAACCATGCTCCAGGACTGGTTGTAGGTACGTGCTCGGAAGCCTCTTTGATCAATAAGATTCTGTGATTTGCCAACTTCATGCCTGCCTCAGGTTTCACAAGTTGCAGGTGAATGTCGTGCCCATGCAGTAAAGGAACATCAGTGGATTAATGTAAATATGGGGATATCATCAAATAACAAACAGATCTCATAATATTATTAGAGAAGAACGACAGGGCAACAAGTCACCGCGTTGATGGAAGTACAACAGATTCATCAGATAATGCCTCCCAGTGATATCTGCAGGCACGTTTTCTCAACTTCCCCACCGTTAATTTAATTGAAAGTGATGCTTGACTTCATGGGGAAAAGAGGTGAAAATGGCTATTTTTGGTGTGTACTAGGTCTTTGATAAAGAATCGTTATGAGACCTGGAATTCTGTTCTTTGGTTTTCTCAGAGAGTTGCCAGTGTCAGCCTATTACCACAGTATGAAATGGTTGAATATCTCAAATCCAATTAACCTCATTTTTCTATTGCAGGTCTGCACGTGGGTGGTTCTCTCATCCTAGGCTTGCTGGATGTGAATAGAACCAATCAGGAATTCACATCAGATGCTTCCCCTGATTATAAACCTTACATCACCAATCCCCTGTATACCATCCAATACACATCAAGACTGCTCAGGCAAAGGTGGGTCTGGATGCACACTTCTCTTAACTGTGCGCTAGTGTTTGTCTCTGTGCACTAATTAGGTGGTCATGTCTTTGAATAGAAGCTTGCTCAGCTTTTGAAGTAATTTGCGGAAAAAAAATCTGTTAGAATCATGGAATGATGAGAATGGATGACCTTGCTACAGGAAAGGTTTTTAACTATCAAATAAGTCAAAACAATATGAAAAGCTCATGCAGAACTGATAACCAAGTTGTACAGTTTTGTTTAAAAACTCTGTGAATTTCCTACAGAATTTGGTAAAGTAAGTTTAAACAAGCTTAATAAGATGCTACTAATTTTACCATAGCGCATACAAATATTCAGTGCTGTCAGTGCAATGAAATAAGGAAAGACTCCATTACACCGGCTTCTGTGTAGGGGTTCATGGTGTTTTGTACACCCGAGGGGATAAATGGTACCCAAGCTGAGGGTTTCATTTGCCCCTGCAAAAAAGCACCACTTTTTCCTCATTCTGCCTGTTACTTTTGACTGGTTTCATGAAAGGACTTGGGCTCAACTATAACCCAGTTGGATTGAAAAGTATAGATGAGACTAGAAGGTGCATTTCCTGAAGTGCATCAGTAGAAATTTTATGCAGGCCTGTACATATTTTGACTTTATTTTAAAAGGCAAACATGGAAGTCCAACAAAGCTGCTCTGCCAGTGGACAGAGGGTGCCCCAACTTTCTCTACTGGGTGACAAAGCCCCCCCCCCCGGCGACACACACACACCCCCTAGGCAGGTCCTATAATGGAGTGGGGCTGAATGGATCGGTCCATTAATGGCTGATGCCTGATGCTGTCATGTCTGTCTCCCGATTAGAGAAACCTTCCACTGCCGTTTCAATACAGACATCATGTAACACCATTGCCGTTAGTAAAATGACATTATACTCAAACTCAAAAAGAAGGAAAGCGGGCAAACCATTTTGAGTGTGTGTGTGTATGCCACAGCTTCGATATGGATTTTTCACAAACTCCACTGGAATACCAACATACGTATATCGGGCAAACCGGTACATGAGGCAGCACCTGCGGCCACCTCACATAAAACCATGCACATTGAGCTGAACCCTGTACAAATATGATACCCATGACCACAAGAACTCCCCAAGGCATAAGTTCCAAGTAAACGCCAAAACTTAAGGGCGTTAGTCAAGAATGTCAATGATACCCCACGATCACTGAGTCGAGAATGTCCAAAACGGCTCTCGATTTATTTAATACCACGCACAATATGATAATTAGTACAATCAACCCAAAGAACACAAAAGTATAATATTTACTAATGCAAGTTTTTCATGCATAACATAAAGGAAGAAACTTTCGTAACCCAGTACTTGTTTTAAGAACTGTAATAAGTCAGTAACTTACAGTATCATGCCATCTAAATTTCCCACCGCTGGAACATGCGGCTGGGTGTAGCCCGTGTGGAACGTCACAGGCTATGAATAAGATACACGCGTGTACTGATATTAATAAATTGATTTATGATGTTCAACTCCCCATTGTCATGCTGTGTGGCACATCACGGCACTTTAGACAATTTAACTTACATAGCTCAAGATTTAATTGATGTATAGACCAGGTAGCTTATCATTTTTTAACAAACAAATGGTGTTCCATTCTTATTCCGTATAAAAAACTGCCAAGCCATAAATAAAACACATGGCAGAAACGAAAAACCCAGCCATAGGGACCGGGAGGCCTGTATGGGGGAGGAGGTGGGTAAGGTGAAATCCACGTGGTTTGATCGCTCAAAGCTGCGATGAAAGTGGCTGGCGTAGCATGAGCAACGCATGCTGCTGATCAGCTCACTTGCATTGACCTAATAAACCTGTGGAGCTAAATGGCCAATGAATTTGGCAGGCTGCCCCCTGCAATGATTGGAAATCTCTGGATCTTCATTCTGGCTCATTGCTCCACCCCATTTTGCCTAGATGCTACTATTACACGACAGGCCCCCGTCGAATTTTAACACACAATCTACACTCAGCACAAACATGTTTTCTTTTTCCTAGAGTATAATGAATTTTATCGCTAAGGTCGATAAAATGTCTTATAAGGTTCTGTTCCTTCCCAGGATACGCTTTGTGTATGAGCCAACATTCTACATCTCCAGTCTTGGTCAGATTGAGCTCCAAGGGCCACTGGTGATCAGTCTGACTCTCAGAACCCTAGGGAACTGGACAGAGGCAAAGCCTAGACTTATCTACTGGGACACAGGTAAATTAGACTAATTGATCTCTGAGGTTGCTGGTTTGTTTTACTAAACACGAGAGCAACTTTAGTCAAGGACTATTGGTTTACTGGTAGTAGTAAGTTCATGGTATATTTTTTGCCTGCACCTCAGTATGAAAAATGCAAACATCTAACTTAAGCTGCATTGTGGTCAGTTGTCACCAGCATCTCATAATAGTGGGCAAGGTCAGTCAAGGACCACTAGTTAACTGGTGGTTGATTTGTTACGTACCTAAGGAAGGGCAAAACAGCAAAAACAAAAGTGAAAATGGTCGTTTACTAGTGACATACTGTTTTTCTGGCATTTTTCTTATAACTGGTCCTCTGTGCACTGTGTTGTTTAAATTTAAGACAACCAATGATGCGACCAACTTTGATAGGCTGGTCACGAATAGTTGACTAAACTAGTCCAATCATCATCGATCAGCATAATCAGAGTTAGTCGAACTATGGTTAACTATGGTCCTTGATCGAACTTGCCCAGGCCTGTCCTGTCTTCCTGCTTGGCATTCTAGTATGTGTGGCTAGCAATATCTTGTGATTGAGGCTGATCCCTGTACCTGTCCATCTGTTTTCAACAAACACACCCATGCTTGTTGAAATATGGGGATTGATAGTTCTTGAAATGTGCATGTCCCAGTGGATCATTTATTTAAAGTTTCATCCCCAGATTGATACCTCATATTGACATGAAAACCATCAATCTTTTGATTATATGGAGAATTGCCTTTGATCATCTCTAGAGGGCTTAGGATGGTTTTTGGAGGGTAATGACTCTTTGTGTCATTTCTTTCTCTTGCGTGAATCCCTAGTAAAAGATAGCAATATCTGCCAAGCCTCTGCTTTCAGGCTGAATGTGTCAGTGTCTGTCATTTCTTAGACCACTCTGAATGGCGTGATGCAGCCAAGACATGCAGTGATGTAGATCGTATCACGTATCTCAATGGTGGAAACCAAGTCAACGTGGAGGTGAGTCATGTTGTCAAGTGTTTTAATTCCAAATTCATTCACTGTCTTTGTTTCACTGCATCAAGAGGCAATAGACTAGAGGTCTTGGTCTGTTTGCAGATTGCGCAACTTCCACAAGTATGCACAGCATTGTTGATATCAGTTTTGTAGGACATGCAAGCAGGGTGCAGGACTTTGTGGAATCACAACTTAGGATGATGTTGATTTGTTTCATCATTATTTCAACTACAAGACAATCGAGGATTAGTTTTGGCAATGGATTCTGCCAAAGCAGTACATCCAGTTAATGGTGGAAATAAGACAACGGCCATTTTACATTTTTACACAGGGGGAGGTTGGGACATAACCCCTTCATAGTTCCAAATAAACAGCACCGCTAAAACAGAATAGTTCATGGTGGAAATTGTAGAATTATAATTGAAAATCTATTGTTAAACTTCTCTTCAACAAAACTCCACACTACTTTCAAACTGTAGATTTTTTTTGTTCGACACAACAGAAAGACAGAAAATTTCTTGCTTTGATGTTACTTCTTAGGTTTGCTCTACCCGGGCTCCAGCCTCATCACCCTCAGCGGCAGGTCGTAAGCGGCGGGCTGTGCAAGAGGAACCTGTACCAACCAGCCCCACTAGGTCTTACTTCAGCCATGAGACCCAGTTTGCCTTGGCTGTGGTCCTTGATACCATCCCTAACAGCCCTCCAGTGATCACAAACTTCATTGAGAAGATGATCATGAATGAAGATGAAGGTAAGTTCCTAAGCAGACTTATATGTCAAACTGCATTCAAAATATTCAGATAAGCATTTCCTTAGATAGCTGTTGATGTTTTTAGAAGATCATGATTCATTCTTATCAACCAACACTAATGGAATAAGCTCATATCAGAGAATTTTGTAGGAGACATTGTAGATTGTTATAGTTTTGGGTTGTTTTGATGAAGATTGTATTTGTTCACATTTCATATTGATCAGGGCATTTTCTTGTTATCTTATTTTATGATACTTTTATATTTTGGGATTATAAGTAAGGGTTCTTTTCAAAAATAATTTTGTTGACTCTTGAATGTTGACAAATATTTGGTCATTGCTAAGGGCCAGCCAGTTTGCAAACTTCGTATCCACATGTATTCATGCATGGCCAAGTTTGTGAGGCATTCACAGTTCGTAGACCTTTGTTATTTTAATATTTCCACTAAATACCAAGAGGATTGAAAATCACTCTATGATATTTGGAAGTTGGCTAAACTATAAGAGAATTCAAATTGGGCTAATCAAGCTTTAAAATCTATATTTTGTCCATGATTAGATATGTAAGGTCACCAAAAACATGGCAACTACTCGGCACATTTTCCTCTTGCCATTCCATTCTAGGTACTTTGGTGTATACATTCCAGGCCATTGATGCTGAAGATGACGTCTTAGTCTTTGAACTTGGCAGCAACGAGGACTTACAGGGCACTGCAACGATTACTGAGGATGGTGAATTCAGCTACACACCCTGTGCAGATTGCTATGGCATTTTCAATGTCCATGTCACTGGTGAGAGGTTCTAAAAGTCTGCCAAAATATTAGACAGTTTTTCAGAGGAGAACACTTACAGCCTAAATTTTGTGTCCAGAACTTCTAATGGAGAAGACCTCCAAAGATGACTTGCTATGATTACTTTGTTGTTGTCCAGAAGTCTTCTCAGATCCTGTACAATTCAAATCTTATTCACCGCAACAGTTGGATTGGTGTTTTGCTTTAAATAGTGATTTGTGTCAATAAGTTTAAATGTAAACTGGGGATAATGGTCTCCAAGGTCTCTGTTTGCAAAGATCTGTTTGCTATTTTGTTTTTCCTTTTCATATTCTTCTTCAGTAAGAGAGTTGCAGATCTTCACTGAGAGAGAGTTCCTGTCAACCGGCGTTGATATCACCATTGAAGTTCAACCAGTTAACGATAACCCTGTGCTGTACAGTGCACAGAACAGCCAAGTTGTTGGCAATGGACGCATTGCATTGGTAAATTAAAATAGATAATGTGGGTCTTTTTGTTGTGGGCAATATTAATTTAAGCCAGATAAAC